GAACCGTTTCTAGATACGCTGTAACTTTATGCAAATATTTCTCGATTTGGAATTGCTTCTTTTCAAGATTATCTAATGTTTCTTTTTGAAAAGTTTGGCTCTCTTAACAATTGCAACTTCTAACTCGACAAACATTCTCATTACTTTATCTCGCATTTCCCTTATTTTTGCTTGTATTTCTTGAACGTCTTGAACAAGTTGATCTTTTGAAGTGATGATGTCTTTTGCAATATATTCTGCATTGTCTTTGGCTTCCTGCAATATCTCATCTAAACTAGAACTCGGTGACGTCACTTTCCTGGCAATTTTCTCAACCTCAACAACGTTGTGACATTTACTATGATCAACAATGGCGCAAGTACTGCAACAAAGCTTGTTCTCATCTTCACAGAAAAAATCTAAAACTTTTTGGTGTTTATCACATCTGATCACATGTGCTACCTTTGCGTTTAGCAATTTATGACTCATAAAGATGTCAAGCACGTCATGCACAACTGAACAGTCAATACACTGGAATTCATTACACGTTGAACAAAACTTGTCAGCCACAGTTTTCTTATCTTTACTTAAACACGGTTGACACATAATTTCCTTGACACGCCGTTTACACAAAATGTCCTCGACACGCCCAGGAACTTCATCGTCCTCTCCACCATCCGCCATTTTGTTTAAAAATGATTCTCTATTTTTGAATTCAAGTTAGCTTATATTCTCAACTCACTATTTAGCAAAACTGTATCAATCCGATTTAATATTTCAATACAAAAAATATATGTTTAAAACTGATTAATATAAACGTTTCTTGTAACAATACGTATCTGGTATAATTATATTCCTCTGTAATCTTACGTATGTTTACAGTGCGTTGCTACAATAATATTGGAAATGCGGAAGTTGATTTGACACGAATTGTGTGATTTACAACTTTTTGATAATATTATTAGTTTATCAAAGTCTCGCTAAAATCATATAAAATACAATATAAATGCACATTGCAAATCTAAAAGATTTACAAGAAACTAAAAAGTTGACTTACTATTTACATTTAAAAATTTAAAAATCCATAATCACCGTGTATATCCAGTAACGCTGGAATGTGAAAAAAACACACGATTCGTACAATAAGTAACGCAGAATGTTGCAATAAATGACAGGATTACAAAATACATGATAACTGACAGGATTTCCAACGTAGTAAGTAAACTGGCCAATAATTGTTTTACTTAACCGAACTGAAAAAGTTGAATAGCCGCATACGGCTGCAAAAACATTACTCTTTATCCCTCATCAAGAGTATTTCCACGAAATTGTTTACTTTTCAAGATCATTCGTGAAAATGATGGCTTGACCACCGTTTTGAGCAAGATTTTGGCTTTTTGTCGACTCTTATAAGTACAACAATGCATTATGACGTATAATTTCGATTTTCGGTATGCAAGTGACATTAACTGAGCTTTTGTGACATAGAAAATTGAAATATGCTCTTCGCACGTATTAGGTATTGAAGAGGGTAGACATAGAAATATTTAAATAAATAACGTTTCTGTACAAAATGCAACATGAAACAAATTGAAATTGAGTATCATTTTTATTAGTATGTCCATAATATATTGACTTAAAAAAACAAGTTTACCTAGATATTATTGCTATTATTGGCCTAATTTAAAGAAACTCATATCAATCATGAAATGTGCAACAAAAATGTCATTGTTAACTTAGCAATTCTTATTTATTCAGCGATGCAACAAAGAATTGAATCTACTTAATACATTTGTTTGAATTATTTTACACTAAAACATATGTATAATTTATAATGTACCTAACTTTTTTTTTGTACTTAGTATTGTACCGCCAAAATGCTACTTGGCGATGAAAATTACCAATAAATTATTTGACTATTTGAATTGTGCAAGAGATTATTTTATTAAATGCTCACAATTCACACTGCGCATAGGTCATGTAATTATTTTCTATAGTTAAATATTCCTCACAAGCAAAATTATAATAATTTCGTTATTTTAAATTAAGTCCATTCATGATTAATTGTATTTATTATTCATCTATTCTTTGCCCATTGCTTATAGTAGAGTCAATTAATCAAACATATATATTTAAAGTGACTAATTACACACTTTAAGAAAACAGTTTGCTTGTACAAACAACGATTTATCCTGGACTTTGTTGTTTGTCCTAGTGAGCTGTCTTCGAATCTCTGTAATCAAACACTTTCAGTAAAAAAACGCGTATTGTATCAAAATAGAGAGTAATATAACGCACAAAACGTCATAATTGAATATATGTTGCAGGCTCGGTTTGATTGAGCCAATTCATGAATGGTAATCGGTAATGGAAAGTGCAAGTTACCGTCCACGCCCCTTGGCACCGGCTGAAGCATATTCAACATTTAATATGAAATGGTAAAATTTGGAATTTTGAAACATCTGCAGATGTGTTCATACGGCGGTTATCATGGAACCTTCAATGTGACACGTCAGTGCCATTCCATGAAAAGTGGCGTATGGTCCCCAAGTAAAAGAACGTGTGTGCCCTAAACAAGAAAAGAATGGGCGAAAATAAACAAAATGGAATTTTGAAATTGGATCAGAGGTAATGAAGCCAGCATATCACAGATAAAACGTCAAAAGACAAGGATAAAAGGCGGACCACATACCCTAGGGATGTAAGAAAAACTGGAACCACCCAACTAGAAAATACCATAAGCACAGCAATACATATACTTATTGATATAAAGGTCATATCGGCTGTCGGTCCGCCTAAACAGCCTTTTCCCAGGGACTCTGGTGATTTTTCTAGAAAACACATTAAAATGATCATGTTTTATAGGGTTGACCACATTTTTCACAAAATTACCCCCTTTCAACTGAAATTTTCTGCTGATCACAGGACTGACATATTCTTTTTTTAAATGCAAATGTCCAAGAGACTAATGAAAGAGTCATTGTCTTCAGAAAAGAGTGTTAGATTCTTTGATAATTTTCATACCTGTAAAGAATACTTTTCATTCAATCACACGATGTCCCATTATCTTATTGTTTTACAATATGATAATCTGCCCACTACTGACCTATTGACCTTAGACAGCCTGCGACCGACTAAGGTGTATTAAAGACTTGCACAAATAAACGGCTAGGATTTTCAAATAAATGTACAACAATATATAAATGGAGAATATTTGCATATATATGGCATCTAAAAATATCAGTTAATTGCAAATAGAACTCAAAATGATATATTAATATATTACTCCGGATAAATTATATATTTATTTCGTTTTAAACATAATAAGAACACGACATTGTAAAATATTTACATTCTTATATAATTTCATGCTAATGTTAGAAATACTGATTGTTTTTTGTCATGTTATTTTTTTAACCAAAAGATAAACAAATAAATTATCTCTTCTTGTTAAGTTTGGCGCACGTGGTTTCGTCACCAGTTTTCTTAAGTAAAAAGGCAGCTCTTCCAGCTCCACAACCTCTTTTAAATTTTTCCAAGAACTAGGTCCTTAAATATTTTGCTAGTTGCTGTATTACTTATTCATGTTTTAAGTTTGATCTAGTCATTCTTATTGCCATATGTTATTACCTCATGTCATTACATCTTTAGGGTACTTTGTACAGGCGTTTTTTGCCTTCCAGCAGGGAATCTGGGCGGTTTTTGCATCTCAGTTATATTCTTTCGGGAATCCGGGCGGTTTTTACCTCTCACTTAGATCTTTTCAGTAAACTTTGTTTTTAAATCAATTTGTGTATTTAGTATCAGGAATTTTTGGCTTATTTTATGGCTGATATTCGATTATAATCAAAATTGAAAATAGTATATTATTTTCTCAATCCAGAGGAAAAAAATCTCCATTGAAAGTTACAAAATAAAAAATTTTGAATAAAAATCCTAAAACTTTTGAAAATAGGGACTACTTCACTGTTTCCAAGTTCCATGGGTATGGGTCATGTTCCAAAGGTCCTGAGAAAAAATCCTGAGTATCAATAATATTAGCTTACGGCATTTTATTTCATTCAATTCATGTGTTTTGTTTCCCTTTAACCATATGTCACGGTTCAGAACTGTTCATTATTTAGGGGAGATGATGTATAAGCGGTAGATAGCTCAGTTGGTAGAGCCTCGGTACGGAATTTCGGGGGTCTCGGGTTCGAGTCCCAGTCAGACTGCCAATTTTTCACACCCTGTGACACTTACCGAGTTCAACCTTTTCTGTGATTCTTACAGATTTTGGGCTATACAATAAAGAAGAACATGACAAAGTAAAATATTAACATTTCTAATGTAATTTCATGCTTAATTTAACAATACTTCTTGATTTGGCATATTTTATTATAGAATAATCATGCGACTCAAATGTCGCCTAAATTATGTTGACATGTTATTAAAAAACCAAACACTATACTGGGTACAACCATGTATGGAAAAAGTATGGATTATGATTATTGATTCAAACTTAATGTGTTTCAATAGTATTAGACCATAAGTTTGTAAGTCATTGCAAATCAATTTCATATTGAAGGATTAACAAAATTGATATTGATAAATTGATTTACAGATGAACACACAATTACGCAACTATTCAAACAATTATAGATGAATAAAATAATGTTAAACAGATCATGCGTTAATAAATATATTTGCAGTTAACAACATTAAAGTTAATATCAATGAATGGTTTAAGTACGATGTATCCAAAAATAATTGAATAATAGAATTAATCAATATCGAATTGTTTTCGCTCATTAGATGTTTTCGATATGTACAAGATTAACGCAATTGTTCTTGATTGTAAAGCGTATAAACACGTTGGTTTTGAATGTTGGTGTAGAAATGACAGTTACATTTTGACATGGGACTTATATTAAATGATTATTAACATGTATGCACTGTCTTGGTCACCCTTGAAACGATGGACCAATTTCATCTTATAGTATGAATCGTGTGTGTGCTATGAGATACTGACGATTATGCGATTATAATGATATTTTGAATTTCTGTATTTTCATGTTTCCTCTACAGGCATTTGCAACAACAATAAATGACTTATCATGTGAAACACATACTCTATATGGATATTCCATATCTAGCTGGTACGATGATAAGACCTGTCCTGTTTGTGATAATTCTACAATACAGTCTGTTCCATTACTACAAACTAGGATAGTGTCAGATGGGCTAATTGCTACACCACAAGGTTCGTTAATCTGGCCATCTCTCACCACGACTCTCGTGTTTGTCTTGGTATCATATATGTAGGTAGTATGCTTGTATATATCTGTAAGCACCACTTTATCACTGCTCTTTATGTAAGTACAAGCGCTTGTATCTGCACAATATGCCTTGATCGGAAAGTTAATATTAGAAACATATGGCTCTCCTGCCGATGATATTATTTCAACAGGTATTTGGTAATCAATAGTCCCTACCACAAATTGGCTATTGTCTTTTAAACATATAGAATCATATTTCGTTGTTACAATACATTTTCTATTTCTTCTTATTTTATTAGCTTTACTAATACGTATAAAGTCTATTATATATTCGCTGCCACTTGTTATCGCTACTTCATCCTCAGATACAGCAACAACGGACAGTGGATAATAAGATAACTGACATGACCCTAGTTTTACAAACTTCTCATTGTAAACTATCAATTTCTTATTGTTATAATCCACAGCAACTAGTCTACCATCGGGTAGAAAGTCTATTCCTGAATAGAATGGTTGTTTGAAGTCATCCCACTCTTTCTTTAAATCAATAGAAGAATCTACAGTTAATGTCATCACCTTATTTTCAGCATTTACATTTTTCCGTTCATTATATTTTAATGTGAGCTGTCCAGGAATATAGTCAGTAAATGATTGCGGTGGCAGATTCAATTGTTCATCAAGATCCAAAAAAATGGTCACCATCTGTAAGTTCTGACATTCTTCATTGAAATTTCTGCATAAAACATGGACTTCATTTTTTATCTTCTGTTCTGCTATAAATGTCTGCGTTGGAATCCCATTTTGGTAAATGCTATGAATCGTTTCTAGATACGCTTTAACATTAGCCAAATGCTTTTCGTTTTGTGATTGCTTCTTTTCAAGGTAACATAATGTTTCTTTCTGAAGAGATTTGGCTCTCTCAACAATGGAAGCTTCCAATTTGTCAAATATTCTCATAAATTCCTCTCGCGTTTCTCTAATTTTAGCTTGTATTTCTTGAACGTTTTGAGCAAGTTGATCTTTTGAAGTGATTATATGTCTTTCAATATCTTCTGCATTTTCTTTGGCTTCCTGCAATATCTCTTTTAAACTAGAACTTGGTGACGTCATTTTCCCGGCAACTTTCTCAACCTCAACAACGCTGTGACATTTACTATGGTCAACAATTGCGCAAGTACTGCAACAAAGCTTTTTCTCATCTTCACAGAAATAATCTAAAACCTTTTGGTGTTGATCACATCTGATTGCGTGAGCTACATTTGCGTTTAGCAATTTATGACTTATAAAGATGTCAAGCACGTTATGCACACCTGAACAATCAATACACTGGAATTCATTACACGTTGAACAAAACGTGCCAGCTACAGTTTTCGTATCCTTACTTAAACATGGTTGACACATAATTTCCTTGATACACGGTTGATACAAAATGTCATCGACACGCCCAGGAACTTTATCGTTCTCTTGTATATTACTTCCACAGTCCGCCATTTTGTTTAACAATGATTCTCTGTTTCTTAATTTAAGTAAGTTTATATTCTCAACTCACTATTTAGCAAAACTGAATCAATCCGATTTAATAGTTCAATACAAAAAGATAAGTTTTAAAACTGATTTATGTAAACGATTAATATAGCAAAACGTATCTGGTATCATTCTACCCCTGTGTTATCTTATGTATGTTTACAGTGCGTTGCAACAACAAGATTGGAAACGCGGAAGTTAAATTAACACGAATGTGTGTTTTACAACTTTTTTAATAATATTATTAGTTTATCAAAGTCTTATCAATGTACACAGTTAATATATATATATAAAATACAATATAAATGCACATTGCCAATCTATAAGATTTACAAGAGACTAAAAAGTTGACTTACTATTTACATGTAAAATTTTAAAAATCTATAATCACCGTGAATATCCAGTAACGCCGGAATGTGAAAATAACGCACGATTTGTGCAATAAAAAACGCAGAATTTTGCAATAAATGGCGGATAACTGACAGGATTTCCAACGCACTAAGTAAACTAGCCAATATATTTTTTACTTAACCGAACTGAAAAAGATGAATAACCGCAACATTACTTTCCACGAAATTGTTTACTTTTCAAGATCATTCGTGAAAATGATGGCTTGACCACCGCTTTGAGCGAGATTTTGGCTTTTTGTCGACTTTATAAGTACAACAATGCATTATAACGTATAATTTCGATTTTCGGTAAGCAAGTGACATTAACTGAGCTTTTTGGAACATAGAAAATTGAAATAAGCTGATAAAATGTGATTAAAGACGTTTTTATGAGGTTACGCCGGTGTATGTGAATTGTGCTTCGCAGTAACGCCGGAAAATGTGATTTTTTTCATATATGGCGCTGAACTGTTTCACAGGTTTAAACGCCTTTTATCGGCGAATATAATCAAGTTATTTGCGACCTAGTCAATGTATTTTCTTCGTAATTTATTAAGAAATATATAATAATTAGATCGTGACAAATTTGGCAATTGTTTCCTGAAATAAATTATTATTTGCAAACATGTTGCCCACGTCTAATCTTGTTAAAAAAATAAGAACAATAAACTTCCATTGCAAATAAATTGAATATATAAACAATAGAAAACAATCAAGAGAAGAAGTGTTTGTATATTTTATGCCTGAAACAATGCACCAATAAAGCTTGAAAGTCTCCATATGTCCTTTATTGTGTTGACGTGATATGAAACCTAACAAAAAAAAATATTTTGCTGTAGCACTTTGCCTGGTGAACTTCTGTGAAAATGGATTTTTTTTTCTCTTATATAAGGAAGTGACTTGTATTCAAAAGATGTTTTACTTAGAAACTATAATGCCCAAAACTTGTAAAAGCATTACCTAAATGTCCACTGCTAAAGTCTAATAAATTATAACCCTTGGGGTAAAGATTTACCCTACTCTTGGGGATTCTTATTTTATGTTAACTTGTATGGGAAAACATATGAATCTACCGTAAGAGCTTATGCTAGGCATTACTATAGGACTAACAGGACTAATGACCATAAAGGAGACCACCAGTACAGAGCCAGGTCACATCCATACAGAGTGACCATTTGCTCACTCAGGTAACTCATTTGCACAAATACATTAAATATCTTATACCAATATCTAAGACTTTGAAAGTTAAAGTTAGACACTTAGCAGAATTAAAATGGATCAAGAACTTACAAACGCCTTTCCCACTTGGCCTAAATGACAATATTTTTCAACAAGGTAACATCTCTAAAGATCCAAACATTGATATATTTTCTATTCTGAATATTCGTAAACGTAAATCCCGATCTCACGGAGTACGTAGAAATGGCAACATCAAACGTAAAACTAAAATTACCCTGTCTGTCACCGACTTAAATATTATCTTAAAAAACTCTGGTAAACATGCAATGTTATCACGTCTTACTTCCCTTTCATTATCATCTCTGAAAATCTTAGACGCGGAGGCAGATAATATAGTTATTCAAACAGATCCTTTATATACAGCAGCTTATCTTATTCAAAGTTATACTCAGCACGTCTTAAGACCTCATATCGACAACACTTCTGACCACAACAGGCATTTCCTAAAAGTAACCTTTCTTAATAAAGGTATCGATTTCATCGATTTACCAAGTATTTTTCGTGATAAACGTGTCACTAATTCAGTTCCTTTATACTTCAAAAACTCCGAGATACCAATTATTTGCTATAAATATAAGAAACCTGTTAGAAATATCATATTTAATTACAACAAAGTGGTTTCTGACTTAGATATTCAGTCTAATACTCCAACAACTTGAGACTGCAATACTTCTAAATTCTGTAATTCAGATTTTGGCCATATAATCACTGGTAATTTTGATATAATTGCAGACAAAAGAATTCGTAACTTATTCTTGAAAGGACCTAAATACAGAATTCCTTCTGAGATTGATTTTAATGCTTGTCGTGGTCGGATTGCTGAATCTATAGAGGATTTTTCGGTCAAATGGTGTCGCCGTGAAAATGCAGATAGTAATGTTCTAGTTACACGGAAACGTAACATCTTTAAAATTATTGATTCACGTATTAATTTTTATCGTGGAAATGAACATCTTTTGCCACCTAAACCAAGACTTACTTTAAGACATCTGAAAAAAGATATTCTAGCTTTTCATTCAAAATTTGTTTTGGTGCCAGCGGACAAGGCGGCTAATAATATTATAATTGTTTGACGAATCCATTACATTAACGTTTTGCTTAAGGAACTAAAATAGCACTAATGCGTATTCTAAAACCTCTGCCTCCGAAAAAGACATTGTAAACAATCATATAACTAATATTTCCAATCTTAAAGTCCAAATTAATGAAAAAGAACTCAAACTTCTATTATGTATTGGATTCCTAAATTACATAAAAAACCTTACAAAGCCAGATTTATTGCTAATTCTACATCTTGCACTACAAGTAAACTTTCTATTTTATTGACGTCTTGTTTGACTGCCATTAAAACACATGTAATTAGATATTGTGATAAAGTCTATGAAAACTCAGGCAAACATCTCTTTTGGTCAATTAAAAATTCTGGTGAAATCTTGGATAAATTCAAAATTAATAACTTTCAAGCTTCAACTGTCAGTACATACGATTTTTCTACACTTTATACAACTTTGCCACATAAATTAATCAATGATAAACTAATTTCCCCTAATTCAGAAAACTTTTGCACGGGAAAAAGTTACCTTTCTAGCATGTAATTCTAACAAAGCTTTTTTTACTAACGGTATTGTTAAACATTATACTATTGTGGACTTGTGACGAAGTTTGTAGAGCACTCTCTTTTCTTTTAGACAACATTTATGTCAGGTTTGGTAATACCTTATTTAAACAGATCGTAGGAATTCCTATGGGTACTAATTGTGCACCCCTGGTCGCCGATTTGTTTTTGTACTGCTATGAAAGAGACTTTATGTTGAGTCTCTCTGAAGAGAAACAACAAGATGTTATAGTCGCATTTAATAATACTTCCAGATACCTTGATGATATTTTTAATTTAGATAATCCTTACTTTGATCAAATGGCTGTCTGACATTTATCCACATGAACTACAACTTAATAAAACGAACTCTTGAAATTTTAGTACATCATTTTTGGATCTTCATATTACTATCTACAACAATTCTATTCACACGAAAATTTATGATAAAAGAGATGACTTTGACTTTTGTATAGTTAATTATCCACATTTGGATGGAGACGTACCCCATGCAACATCCTACGGGTTTATGTTTCTCAGTTAATTAGATTCGCTAGAGCTTGTAACAACGTAAAGGATTTCAACGAGCGGAATATTTTTATTACCAGCAAGCTTCTAAAACAGGGCTACCGCTATCATAAATTACGGAAATATTTTACTAAATTTTACTTAATCGTAACTTTGATTTAATTTCTAAATTCAATAGTGATTTAAAAACTCTTCTGCGACAAGGGATTAGCCAGCCTGGTTTTTATGGCGATGTGGTTTACAAACTCGTAAGATTTTGGGTCATGGTAATTTTTCTGCTGTTTTTACTAAAATCATTAAACGTTTTATTAAAAGAGGTTATGACCCTACTATTTTAAGACATACTGCATGTTTAGTGTTCAACCCTTTTACAGTTGGACACTACACTTTCCTCTTTTTGATTGCATCTGACGGACCAAGTGGGAGACTCTATGATGGATAGTTCGTAAAGCCCTTTGGGACTGAATTGTCTTAATGTTCGTCTTCTGCCTTGCTTCGTCGGGCCCTTGTAGGTGATTTTCTTGTTGCTCTGTCTTCCTTTAGGACATTGAGTACTTTTGTTATGGTCATTGGGTTTACTTTTATATGTTTCTACATGATCATTTTAGTGTTTTACTTATTTAACCTTTTGTAACCATGACAACTGTTAGAATTTCACTTGGCGGGGATTCATTTTATTTACACTGTCTCGTTTATAGGAACATGGTGGGGCTAAGAGCGAGGTTTGGTGCACCATTAACCGGTTTAAACTTCCCAGCAGTCATTATTATGCTGCTGACCGTTCCAAGGCGGCGCCCCACTGTGTTCCTCAGATGTATGTCTATGTTGTTTCATACTGTTTTGGTGACACTTTTGCTTGTGTCCCTTGTTGTTTTCTCGTCTACGGTAAGTATCTTCCCCATTGCCTCTAGTTTTTATTTCTTTGATTAACCCCCCCCCCCCCCCTTCCCCCGGTCTTCTGTCCCCTTCCCCTTTGTGGGCCTATTATTATTTTCTTTGAGTTCCTAATCAGTTACAATTGTTTATCATTTGATGATTAACGTGTCGTTGCCCTGTCCTTTTTATGTTTGGGGTCCGCCTGGGCTCCTTGCCGTTGGTTCTTGTTGCTGGGTCATATGGGGGTTGCGTTCATTGAACGCCGCCTTTCCTTGTTGATCTTGTTTTTCATATTTGAATAAACTGTTCCAAGTTCACAGCTCAGCAAAACCATTTCATAA